CTGAGCTGCTGGAATGATGGCAATGGGGGCTGAATCTGAGGGTAACAGAAACACAGCCTAGCGGGGCAGAGAGAAGCAGGAGAGAAAGGGTATGAAACAAGGCTGAGATATGGTTCCAGCTAAGAGTCCTGAGCCCCAGCCTGTTACTTAATTTAGGGAATTTGGGGTCCTGACCCCTAGCTGTAATCAGCATATGTCAGTGAGGATTCTTTCCCCTGCTGTTAGGCAGGCCTCAGAAAAGCAGTGAGTGTGGGTGGTGTTTGAAGCATCTGCAGATTCGGTTTTGGTACCTCGATGCTTCAGAGTTCCCATCTCAGGAGTACACATCGGAGTGGGCTGACCTCACAGATGGAACTGTAAGAGGTGCTTACCACATGCTTTTCCCAGCTCCATGTATATTGACTCCCTGCCTCTTATCCTGATGTGGCCTCTACATTTGGAGGCATCTGGGGAAAAAATGAGAATAACTTATGGAAAGTTTTAGCTTTCTAGGTTAGAGATTGCATTCATTGTATATGCTCTCTGGCCACATGGCCTTCAGGGGAGGCTGCATGCCAGAGACTTGTTGGTTCGCAAAAGATGAACCTAAAAGCAGAAATCTAGCAGCTAGAGGAGTGGGACTTGCATTTGTGTAAAGAAAACGTCACTGGTATGCATTGGTATTTTGTCTTTGAACCAGAGCACCTCTGGTTCTCTGCAGATGATTATGAAATAGGTGACCATGAAGTTTGTATTCTAACTGACTCTTGTTGGATTCACATGGTAGTTATTAAAATTCTGTGAGAATTACTGTAAGATAACAAGTATGACCTTTATTCAGACCCATTCTCCCAGCTCCCTTGACCTTAACACTAACCATATAACCAAAGATAACCAACAGTGGATTCATGTAACCTCTTGTAAACATGCCAATTGCCTAACTCTGGAGTTGGAACCACACCTCATCCATACATGCTGAGATGGTCCCACTGTTTTTGATTTTCCATTTCACACTGCTCCTGAGGTACCGATTATACACAGTTTTTGAGGACAACTGTTTAATTGGAAAGGGTCAGGACTGCAGATTTGCTTGGTGTGCTGGCTGGTATTATGTCGGCTTGGCACAAGCTAAGAGTCATTATGGAAGAGTGAGCCCTAACTGAGAAAATGTCCCTACTAGATTGGCCTGTGGGTAAGCCTCCAGGGAATTGTCTTGATTGATGATGTAGGAGAGTCCAGCACATTGTGGGGTGGTGCTGATGACCCTGGATGGTGTAAGAAAGCAGACTGAGATGAAATAAACCCATTCCTCCTCTAATTTTCTTTTGGTCATGGTGTTTTATCACAGCAATAGAAACCCCAACTAAGACATTTTTATATATTAGGAGCCACATGATCAGTTAGACCTCTTCACTTACCAGAGGTATGTAAATTGGTTCCCATTCATTTATTCATTACTTCTCCCTCTCCCCCCCCCACCCATAAGATGCTATAAACATAATTGCTAGTTTATCATCCAGGAAGTTTTGAAGATCCCTTAGAAACAGTTTGGATATACTTATAGGTATTGAGTCTATCTGAAACAGTTAGGACCAGAGTATTTCAGGTTTCAAGAGTTTTCTAGTTTGGGGGATGCATACTCTGAATTTTACCACTGAGTACCATTAATCCAAAATTTGAAATCTGCAGTATGAAAAATTGAATGTAGTGACTTTAGAGAGATAAAGATTTTTCACACTAAGGATGCTCAAGTTGTATATGCCAGAATATGCAGACGTGTGAAACCGAAGCTGGACTGCTCATATAGCACTTTTGCACATAAAAAACATGAAGTACATTGCAAATAATGTGTTTTATTGATTTCATGGCAGAATAGGCATGTTCATTAAAACTCCTCTTGCAGGTTTATTAAATATAAGCATGGTAACATGTTTTTGATAGGAAAAGCTTTTCTGCGTGTTATTATAGTGAAGATGTTAAAGACTATTCTCAAAGTATCAGAGTAGTGATGTCTTTAGTTAGCACCACTTTGTGCATGTTCTGTCAGGGAGAACGTCTTTCTGAGGATGGGCAGGTATGCTACATATTCTCAGGCTCCTTGTTGTTGGCTGTGCTTTGAGCGGGGGAGGGGGGAATCTTCACTTTTTTTTTTTGGTAGTAAGAAGCATGCTCTTTAGACTTCATTATGGTGAGGTTGCTTCAGTCTCATTTGAAGTAGCAAGTAACAGCTAAAAGAATGCACATTTTTGAATTTCTTCCCTGTCTCTTTCAATAAATCATAATGCTTTGTTTTCAGAAAGATGTAATGTTTGCATTTCCAACTTTATTTTATTGCCATTTTTAGCTAACGGGTTTACAGTTTCGTGGTAAATGGGAGTATTTCTTTGGTAGTATTCTTTTTGTTTTTCAAGGAAGGGTTTCTCAGTTTAGCTTGACTGTCCTGGACTGACTCTGTAGTTTAGGCTGGTCTTGAACTCACAGTGGTCTGCCTGTCTGTCTCCCAAGTGCTGGAATTAAAGGCATGCTCCACTACTGTCCTGCTGGCAGCATTCTTGTAGTACTCCCAGGTTGGGTTGTTCTCTTTCCTCCTCCTCTCTCTCTTCTCCCCTCCCTCTCCCTTCCCCTCCCCTCCCCTCTGTATGAGTGTGTGGGTATGTGTCTTGTGTGTGTAGATGTCAGCGATTGTTGCTGGATGTCTTCCTGAGTCAGTTTTTTCACCTTATTTTCTGAGAGTTTGTCACTAAATCTGGAGCCATTTCGCTAGGCTGACTGGCCAGTGAGCCCTAGGAATCCTCCAGCTTTTCCCTAATGCCGGGCTTCGAGGTCTGTGCTGCCTGCCACATCTTGTGTATATATGGGTGCAGAGGATCAGAACTCAGGTTTTGATGCTTATGCAACAGGTACCATTGAGGCATCTCCCCAGCTCCAAAGTACACTTGTACATTTGTTTGTTGTTTCTGTGTGCTTGTGTGTTTGGGTACATGTGTGGAGGTCAGAGGACAATTTGCAGGAGTCAGATTTTTTTCCTCCAAGATGTAGGTTCTGGGAATCAAACTCAGATCATCAAGTTTGGTGCGAGTACTTTCACTTACTGTGTCATCTTGCTGGCCCCAGAGCATGCTTTTAAAGGCAACAGAAAAGGTATTTCTGATATTATAAAATGGGGTCACATTTAGTGAGAATAGCTAAAATCAGTAATAAAATACTAATCAAGGCATTTGCATTTATGAGGGAGAAGATTTCATTTTTCTAAATTGTCTTTTTAATTACATATCTCTGTGTTGGAATGTACCATGGGAGTGCTGTACTGGCATGGGTCAGAAGACAATTGATTTGCTGGAGTTACAAAGAGTTATGAGCTGCTTTCAGTGGTGCTGGGAACCAGGCTCAAGTCCTCTGCAAAAATAGCAAGCATTCTTAATTGTTGAACCATCTCTTTAGCCCAGAAGCTCAGTTTTTAAGAATTAAGAAATATTGGGTTAGTTCCCTTGGATGAAGTGATACTAAATGAAAAAAAAATTGATAGTTATTATTTCATCTTAGAACTCTTGGTAGCCTTTTCTATTTTGAGTAGAAGTTCTATCAGTGAGCACGCTAAGGGACATGGGATGAAGCTGTTTTCCTTTACCTCTTTCAGCTCTACTAGTAAATACAGTTACTGAAAAAATGCTTGAGTTATTGTTGGTTTTTTTGGTTTTCTTGTGGTACTGGATATTGAACCTGGGCCTCACATTGTTGGTAGAGGGACACTTGACCAGTAAACTATAACCCATCCCAAATTTAAGTTGTTTTTATCCAAGAGAGTCAGCTGTATAATATTTCTCTTTTAATAGTTTGATTTCTTTTTATTCAAACATTTTATTTTATGAAAGCATTGGTGTTTTCCCTGCATGTATGTCCCGTGTGGTCCCCTGAAAATGAGGTTACAGACTGCTCTGAGCTGCTATGTGGGTGGGTGCTGGGAATTGAACCCAAGTTCTCTGGAAGAGCAGCCAGTGTTCTTAACCACTGAACCATCTCTACAGTCCCTTAATTTGATTTCTTAAACATTTATGTTTTTTTGTTATCTCAGAGGATGCTAATTTTTGTTAAGGTACAAATTAAAATTTTTATGTCTTCTCTTGAAGTAAGTTTGCTTTGTGGCTGTAGCTTAGGGTTATGTTTAGTAAATAACAAAGAGTAGTATCTTTGACAAAACAAATGCAACAAATGTCCCAAATAGACACTTAGTTTTTTTGGATACATGGAAATATGAGAATCAACAGTTGTATAGTTTTGAGTAAGCCTTGGGGCAGTGCTGTGACTCTGTAACACACTTTTTTTTTTCTGTCACTAACCAGCTCCCAAGTTAAGACATGGAGATTTTATTAGTAATGAGTGCTTGTGCCACTAACTCTTCCAACTTAGCCTGTTTCTTATTATCTTTTTTGCCTGGGACTTTGTTTTGTTTTTAACACCTCTCTTTCCCCCTCTCTTCTCCCTCTTTTCCTCCCTCCCCTCTCCCCCCCCCCCCCTCAAAATATACTCCACTTTCTCCTTTTTATGGCTGGTGGCTGCCCGGCTTCTAGCCCTGAGTGTGTCTCTCTTTTCTCCTAGATTTTTTTCCTACATATTCTTCCTGTTCATCAGCCCTGCCTATCCCTCTCCTGCCTAGCTATTGGCCATTCAGCTTTTTATTAGTCCAATCAGGTGCCTTAGGCAGGCAAGGTGAAACAAATGTTACACCTTACACAGTTAAAGTAATATTCCATAACAGCTTTCTAGTAATGTTAAAATCCCGAATTAATTTCTTGATGTTGTATTTTGATTCTTGACTGTTTTATTGTGGCAAAATCACTTTATGTAACATTATTTACATTTGCACACAGGTATTTATCTTCATTAATGTACATATCTAGAGAGACAACAGAAAGAAGTAGGTTGACCATAAGAAATGAGTTATGATATTGTTAAGCTTGGAAGTATGTGTATATTCTGAAAACTACATGGTACTTTTAATCTTGTTTTCCATTGTTTTCTAGGGGCCTCCAGAATTTCCACAGCATACACCTGGACCTGTTCCCAACAGTTTTAATCAGCCACCTCGACTTCCTCTCCAGGACCAGTGGAGAGCCCCACCACCACCTCAGGAACGAGACCCTTTCTTCTTGGGAGGTACATGAAGGGTGTGATGGGCATAAGATGAAGTGACAGAAGCTGCATTGAATGGTGGACCTGTGCGCTTACTGCTAAAGCAGATTTTCCCTCCCATTAGGAGATGTGCCATACTGATTTTATCAATCATTGCAGTGGCTAAAATTAGACAGTAATTGGATCTGAAATATGACAGTCTTGTAAAAGAAAGAAATGTTTATAGAAAATGACCCATAAAACATTCTGAGATAGCTGAAATCTAGAGTTCTTTATAAAATATGCTCCTAACAGTTGGGAATAGTGAGGTGGTTTCTAAAATTCCTTGTCTGAGAAGTGTGTGGTCTTTTGCCTGCCTGCCTGCCTGCCTGCCTGCCTGCCTGCCTGCCTGCCTGCCTGCCTGCCTGCCTTTCTTTGTTATTTTGACACAGGGTTTTTCTGTAGCTTTGGTATCTGTCCTGGAACTCACTGTGCCTCAAACTCACAGGGATCTGACCGCCTCTGCCTTCCTAGTGCTGGCATTAATGGTGTGTGCCAGCAGCGCCTGATTTTTTTGGGGGTGGGGGGTGGAGGCTCCTTTCTAACTTGAGGGTAATGTTGTGTTACTATTCAGTTTCAGGTGAACCAAGGTTCCCCAGTCATCTTTTCTTGGAACAGCGAAGTCCACCACCACCTCCTCCTCCCACGCTCCTGAACAGCAGCCATCCTGTCCCCACTCAGAGTCCCTTACCATTCACTCAGCCTGGACCAGCATTTAATCAGCAAGGACAGCAGCCAGTGTTCCCTAGAGAGAGGCCTGTAAGACCAGCCCTGCAGCCCCCAGGCCCAGTGGGGATCCTGCACTTTAGCCAGCCAGGGTCAGCAACTGCCAGGCCTTTCATTCCTCCTAGACAGCCGTTCCTCCCCAGCCCTGGACAGCCGTTCCTGCCTACGCATGCACAGCCTAACCTTCAGGTATGCACGTGAACCAGCCTTGAGGGAAGCTATCTGTGTGATGCTGATCCTTTGTGTTTTGTGAAAGGGAAGTCTCAGGTTTTAATTGTTTCTGCTAACATACGGTTATGTAAAGGGTATGAGGAGTAGTCTTAAGTATATAAGTTTATTACAGCCAGCTTTCTTGACAATATTGTTTATTTCCTAAATATTAGGTAATATGAAAAAAGTGGTTCTCATTTTCCTGGAGCTGAACTTTGTCACCCTTGGAATTTTCAAGGGTGACTTTAACATTAGACTACTATAGCTAACATTAAAGTATGTCCTGATGGTGCATTTGCTCATCTTGTGTAGTACTTTCCCCCATTCATGTTCATGCTCGGGAGGGGAAACAGGCTGGGGACAACTGCAGCATCTCACTCTATATGTGACAGGCTTGTGCTCCCTCTACTGGCAGGTATTTACTGGCCAGTACAAGTATTTGTGACATTTTCCTACCTGTTATATTTCCTTTGTTTTTTAACTTTACTACCAAGATACATAGTGACTGAGCAAGTGCAGTGGCATTCCTTAATCCCACCATCTGGGTGATGTTGTCTATCAAAAAGGGGGTGAGAGACTTGGTAATAGTATACTTGACTCAACTGCTTGGATTAATAGGGACTATAAGAATGTACAAGTGGGGTGGGGGCATGGCTAGAGAGATGGCTCAGCCATAAAGAACACTTTTCTGCTTTTCCAGAAAATGGGATTCAATCCCTAGCACCCACATGGTGGCTCACAATCACCACTACTACAATCCCAAGGGATCCAAAGTCTTCCTCTGGCCGCAGTAGGCTCCAGACATGCCAATAGTGTATAGACATTCCATTCACTCACCTTAAAAAAAACATACATACATACATACATACATACACACAAAAATATATATACATACCAATTATTAAAAAGCATATCTAGACTTGAAGAGATAGCTTAGCATGTAAAAGCACCTGCTACCAAGTCTGAGCACCCAAATTTGACCCCTGGAACTCGGATGGTGGAAGGAAAATCTGACTCTTAAGCTGTCCTCTGGCCACCATGTATATTGTGGCACACATTCATGTTGGTACACATATACTCACGTATACATACAACCAGTCGAGCAATAAGTAAACGAAATTTTAAAAATGTTTTAAAAGAGTATGTATTTAAACTAAAAAGAGAAGATAACTATTTTCAGTGTTCAAAGAGGGTTAAATATTTTGAATTTTTTCTAAAAAAAAAAATGGAAGTCCTTTCCCCTCTGTTACAGAAATATTAGAAATATTTAAAGAAATTAAATAATTCCATTACCAAGCATCAGTTACCATGAACATATAGTATGTCTTTTTTAGTAGGGAAGCAGTGTGTCCTTGTCTGCAAACTTTTTTCCTCGGGTTATATAGGCTTTCTGCTCTATTGGGCGGTCTTCCTGAACCATCTGAGCATGCTGTAGGAGGTTACCTTTTATGACAGTGACAGGTACAATGGAAGTACCACCAGCTGATTGCTGCATTAATGATGCTATTCTCAACATGAAGCTTCTTCTCAGGCTGAGGTTTTTAAAGAAATCATTGGGATGAAATCTGCCCAGCAAATAAGTTTATAAGCTGTTGTCTCTCTCTCTCTCTCTCTCTCTCTCTCTCTCTCTCTCTCTCTCTCTCTCTCTCTCTCTCTCTCTCTCTTTCTCTACGGAAGGGACCCTTGCATCCTCCGTTGCCTCCACCTCATCAACCACAGCCCCAGCCTCAGCAGCCACAGCAGCAGCCCCAGCATCACCAGCACCAGCCACCCCTTCAACCTCCTCTCCAGCCTCCACATCAGCCTCCTCCACAGCATCAGCCTCCCCCTCAGCATCAGCCACAGCAGCACCAGCATCACCACCACCTTTCCGCTCCTCCCCCCCCTCTGATGCCCATGTCTCAGCCACAGTTCAGGCCACATGTGCAGACTGCTCAGCCTCAGCCCAACAGCAGTCGGATGCAGTGTACCCCACGTCAGGGGCTACGGCATGTGAGTATTACATGTGTCTTAACTTAAAATTCCTGAGGTAGATCATTTTCCAGCTGTCTTTTTTTTTTTTTTTTTAAGTAGTAAATATACAATATATTTTCCAAAGTAAAACTATAATTGTGTTTTAGAGCACTTTGGAAAGAAATTTAAACTGTAGATATATTAACTTACCCTTTTTTGAGCCTTAAAGGCTATGTTAATATTTACTTCTTGGATGTATTTCTGTTTTCTGTAGTGATTAGACAGTACTGTTAAGTGGTAGTCATTCCATCAGTGCAAGCAGCTTAGCCTTTGATATGGGTTATCTGCTTCTGGGTTCTGAATAAAAGATTACATTCTGTTTTTGGAAATTAACTTGCATTTATTTGTGTTGGTACATTTTACATAACTGTCAACAAATATGGGTCTTGTCATGCCTTGAAAGAAACTGGGAGTTGATAGGTTGCTATGAGAGTAAAATTTAGCTGCCATTGCCTTGTCCTTCCCTAGTAACTGATATTACTTTCTCTTTCAGGACAAAACATAATATTGCTAACAGTCCTGTTTATAAGTCTTCCTTTCTGTACTGTTGTCCTTATAGTTTGAGCAAGTCACTTAGCTGCTTTGAACCTGTTTTCCTAACCGTGCTTTATATCTTAACATTAATCACATGATTGTATTAAGGGGATTTCAAGGTAGAAGAGAGGCATATGTGAGTAGGTTCACGGTAATGGCAGCAACTCAGTTCCTTCCTGACTCAGCCGCCTCTATTCCTTGATGTATGGGTTCTTTTCCAGGCATGTCCAGGGAAAAGTAACTGAGACTCTTCTTGTGCTAGAACTTTGTGGCACCTTTCTCCTCCAGAAAGCTATTTATAAGATTGAAACATGGTGTTTGGTTCTCCTGTTCCATTTTAAACTTAAATGAGTTAGAAACAGTATCCCATTGATAGATTTGAGTGCTTGAAGGTTTTTTGTTGTTGTCTTGGCCCAGAATTTTGTTAAAAATGTTAGTTTATATACTGAAAAATCACTGGGGTTGACTTATAAATGAAAGCTCTATCTTTACATTAGCAAATCCTAAGCATCAGGGCACACAGCAACATTTGTGTTTGCCAGAGTAAGGGATCTACCTCTCAGAAGAGAAGGCAGTTATTGATGACAGTAATCCCTCGTGTTTTACTCACTAATAAACTTGTGTTTCTTTTTGGGACAGAATGCAGCATCTCAGAGTATAAGCAAACGACCGATGCAGCAGATGCAACCCACCGCTCCCAGAAACAGTAATCTGCGAGAACTCCCCATAGCACCTTCACACGTATTGGAAATGAGTAGTAATCGCTGTTCCTCTACACCTGCAGCTCAGGTGAAGCCCATTGTCAACACTTCTCCACCCTGCAGGGCTGTGGTGGCTTCTAGGAGCTCACAGGGAAAAACTGATGCAAAAGTCAAGCCGCTTAGCCCTGGAGCTCAACCTAAGGAAGAAGCAAAAGCAGAACCAGAGGTAGGACCTCTTTCCTGGGATGTGTTTGTTCTGGAATAGGGAGCCTGACTGTCAGTTATGTTCTGCTTAGTTCATTCATCTAAAAACTCTGCCCACTTATTCTCCCCAAGTAGATTTCTCTTTTAGCTTAATAAACATGTTGATAAAAGATGCTCTTACTGCTGGGGGATAATAGCTCAGTGGCAGAGCACCTTAAGCAACTTGTATTTTCATTCTGTGGTGTGTGCATGGATACTCTGATATTCTCATTGGTTTATGATCTTAAAATTTTTTATATTTGTACAGTTATTCCTGATATATATATATATATATATATATATATATATATATATATAATCTCCAGGTTTAGCATATATTTTCTTTGAAGGGCCCCAAATTCTATTTATGGTCTAGACCAGTATATCACTTACCTCTGCCATTGTGGCTCAAGGGGTTTTACAAATAGTTCCTACAGGAACAGATGTGCTCTATACCAGTAAACCTTACTCACAAAACCAGGTAGTTCTGTGGCCTTACTTATTTTGGTAATGTAAAATAGGTGTAGAGCAATAATCATGGATCAATAGTTTACATGATCTTTAATTTTGAGGTCCTTGGCCTCTTATAAGCTTCACCTTTCTTACCTGTTATATAAGGATGAAATAAGTAAGGTAGAATATAACTGGGAGCTGGACACAGACAAGTACAGTGAGCACCAGTAAAATCCATGCTGAATGTAATAAAACAATTGATTATTATAGTGTTCAGTGTAATAACAGGGAGCATTTCCTTAAGTAAGAATTTAAGAAATTCATCCTTTCTAAAAACCTGTTTACACTGTTTTAGTCTTTTAATTAGGTTTTTGTCATTCAGGTTTTCTTCTGACAAACGATTATGATGGTTTTAATTATACCACATTAAAATTAGGAAGTCAGAATGTTTGGATGTCACTTATTAAATTGTCATTAAAAGGGTGATTATGGGTTTCATAATTAGTGTATGTAAGAAAACTAGAACTACGGACTGGAATGGGGTGGTTTTTGAAGAATTTTTTGTGAGATGGGTCTTGGGTTTCACTCTTAGAATCTTAACTACTCTGAAGGTTGTGGCAGGAAAATCACTAGTTCAAGTCTAGTCTGGGCATCTTAGATCCTTCTCACACTTAAAAAAAAAAAAAAAAGTAATAAAGAGGTTAAGGGTACACACAGTTGCCCAGTATTAACAAGGCCCTATGTATGATCTCAGCACCACCTGCCCATAATAAAAAATGGTTCTTTGCCACAAATTTGATAGTACCTTTGGTTTATATAACTAGCTTAGAACTTGTATATATGCTCAGTCTGGTTCACATGCACATTTCTTAAGTAATAACAGTGACTGTATAACACAAGGAGAGGAACAATCAGTCATGTTTATTCATTTTGTTTTAGACTTACCACGAATTCTTACAATAGGCAGACAATTCATGAAAATAAAATGGAAAGTTGACAGGTTTCAGTGATATTGGTTGAATGCCGTAATTTGTTTTAGTTTACTTTTTTGCATACATAAGTTGTACCAAGGTTATATTTTCTTCTTTTAAAGAAATATATTTATTTTGCTTAGCTAAAGGTGGCTTAATGACTTAGATTTATTTCGTTGGTATTGGTTCGGTAAGGAGTAAATGTAAAGTATTTTTGTCTATGTCGTTGAACTTACTTTAACTCTTTTTAACTGCTTGGTTAAAAATGCTGATGAATTAATTACTCTTGTGTTAAGAAATGGTACATCTGGATCCTGCTCCTGCATCCTTTGCTGTTGGACTGTGGGTTTTTTACTCAGGCCTGCTGAGTAATAGTCTCTTACTTACCTATCTTTAGTTTGGTTTGAAATGTATCCAAGGCTTTGACCTTAGACAAGAAGTAGGTCAGCTCATGCCAAGAAATCCACGGGGACCCACTCAGCTCTCCAGCTCTGTGCATGTTTTACATTTCTGATTCTTGAAATGTATGCAAAATAGGCAAGATTTGTAATTAGGGGAATACTAGATTGATTGAATCATATCCTTCTGTAAAGACTATGGGATTGGTGATTTTAAAGACTATTAATTTTAAGTTATAAGCTTTTGTCATTGGATTCCTTAGTAAAAAATTTACTGGACTTTTGAGAGGAATTCTCTGTATAGACTTTATATGTAGTTTGGGTCTAGGATATTCAGGGCATCCACTTACCATTAATATTCCAATACTGCGATTGGCAGCATTTTGATTCTGAGGAGAGTGCGTGAGTTCAAGGTCAGAAAGATTGACTTGTGCTGTTCATTATAACCAATTATTCTGTGACAAATGAGTTTGAGATCAGGCTGAAAATTCTGTACGAAAAAATCAATAGTTCTAATCAGGGCCTTTCAGGTCATTTACACCCCACCTTTTGTTGGTTTGTCAGGGAAGAGCCAGATAAAACCCCTGTGACAGCAGGGACTCATGACTGTTTCCATTCCCATTCAAAATATATTTTGATATCTTAAATGAATAGTTTAATTGGTTTCAAACTTGTAAATGAGTGGAAATTTACATTATTTCATTTTTTTAATATTCTGATAAGATTTTTCCAAATTAGGTTTAGCTGTATAATTTCCCCCTCCCAAGAGAAAAGAGTTAGACTTCTTGTTAAGCTGATTTTTCAAATGCCTTCTTTCAAATACGGAATTAAAGGTTGGGGGAAAATTCATTTGTTTTGAAATGGCCACCCTGCCCTTGAAGCAAAATGAACCATGTTTTCCATTTTAGTTCCCTGATGAAGATGAAGAGACAAGGTTATATCGCTTAAAGATAGAGGAGCAGAAGCGCCTGAGAGAAGAAATCCTGAAGCAGAAGGAGTTACGAAGGCAGCAGCAGGCTGGTGCCAGAAAGAAGGAGTTACTGGAAAGACTTGCACAACAGCAACAGCAGCAGCAGCAACAGCAGCAGCAGCAACAGCAGCAGCAGCAACAGCAGCAGCAGCAACAGATCTATGGCCCACAGACCACTGTGGAGCAAGAGGAGCTGGCAGCTACATCATCGCCCACAAACGGTAACTCACTGCTGCCGTTTCCAGGGCCACAGTGCAGGCAGAATGTGAAAACCAGACTTCTTGTTAAAAACCAAGATGTCAACGTTGCTAATGTTCAGCCCAAGGCAGTAAACTTTGTTCCGCCTGGTGCTAACATGCAGCATCAAGGGCAGCATGTGAGACCACTGAAGCATCTGCGACAGCTGCCACATAAGGTCCTCCATGTCAAGCCTATGGACATGGAGGAGGCACCCCACTCCCCACAGGCAGCCAGAGTGACATCCCTCCAGGGCCGGCCTCAGGACACCAAGCCAGGGGTGAAGAGGACTGTTATGCACAGGGCCAACAGTGGAGGTGGTGGAGATGGGCCACATGTCAGCTCCAAAGTCAGAGTCATTAAGCTGTCTGGAGGGGTAAGTTGACAAATTTTATACATTTCTTTGGAAATTTGTTTGCTTTAGAGGCTTTAGTCTCCACAAAAGAATTAAACCTGGTGTCCTGTAGATTAGCCAAACCTCAAGATTGGTGTAAGGACTGTCATTCAAATTTTTCTTCTGTCTGGATCCATATTGTCTCAGCTGTCTTGAGTCTAGTGAATAACCATTGTGACATCCTGCAGCTATATCTTTCTCAGTTTTAACTTCTTTCATAAATAAGTCAACAGTGTAATAAACAAATTTCTCATAATCTTGATACTTGGACTTCAAGTTTATCATAGAAGTATAATTTCCTATACATATGATAGTTGTGTATAGCTGTGGGGTCAGTGAGCATGTGAGCATGTGTGGTCAGAGGGAGTGGAACCACTTTCAAGCAGCATGGACTGTTCTCAAGACCCCTTTCCCTGTTGTATTTTAAAGAGAAATTCTACTTTGAAAACCTGTGTCATCTTACAACATCAATTCAAAAGTGGAACATTCCTTTATGGTTGACTTCAGTGAGACACAGGAAGTGAAGTTTGCATTATAGTCAGGACAAGTTCAGCATTCTAGAATAGCAAGTTCCTGCTCAGTCTTCATGAAGAAGGTGCTGGGTACTTGCTTTCTTCCAGTTGTATGGTCGTTAGTACAGAGCATAATTCATATCTGTTACCTTCAGTGAATTCTCAAGCAAATGTCATTGTCCATATTTTTGCTGTGCCCTGAGGCAGTTATACTTGTTGTATCCATTTTACATTATAAATTGGGGGAACAGAGCATGAGCCTTTAGAATAAACCAACTCTAGTGATTGACTAAAGGAACAGAATTTGTACACCAAAAAGGAAAAACCTGTAACTCCACATGGAGGAAAGCAGTAACCCATAGTATTGTGAACTGCCATGTGGTTTGCTTCTCAGCTGAGTGCTTGAAGACAGACAACAGAATTTCTCTGGTATAAGGACACTTCTATAGAATAATGCCAAGCAAAATAACGTATGTAGAACACTCAGTGAACATCTATAATTCTGTTTTATCTGATTATTTTCCTCATGTCTTTGTGATTTAGATGCTGAGCAGCAGATAAGCTGTCATATTTAACATACAAAGCTGCTGTGTTTGAGACAGCAGATGTTCATGTCTTTGTAGGCCTTATTTGAAATGTGAGGCATTAGTCTGACTCATTGAGTTAAAAGCTCAAGAGAAGATGGCCACTAGAAATAGAACGTTCCCCACTGGTGAGAAGAGCTGCATACGCCGTGTGGCCCCTGCAGGTTGGCAGTAGAAGTTAGGTATTTACCTTCAAGAGCAGCATTTAAAATCAAAATTGTACTTCCTTTCAAAGAAAAACTGTACTTACTTAAAATTATCTGTCTGCTCAAATGTAAAAACAAAACCAAGTCATATTTAATATGAAATTTTTATGTGATCTTACTCCATTAATGCTACCTACTTTTACAACAAATAGGAGAAACAGTCTTTGGCATTTTCTACCTAAGTAGCCACCAGTCAAGTGCTTTGGGACAAGTTCTAGCTTGTTTTTTTTGTTTTTTTTTTTTTCTTTTTGACTCTTAAGTACTGACAAGCATTTCCACCACCTCTTGTAATTCTCTGTTGTCAACTTTGACTAAACTGATGAATTTCTGATGGGGTTCACTTTTTATCTTGGGTAAATAGTGTTTTCTAATGCCACCCACCCCATCCCCGTGGATAGAAACTATTTTTAAGAGAACACATAATTGTGGGTTAGTTGCAAAATGTGCCTAATTATGATGGTGCAAAAAGGAACTAGCCATGTGTTCCAGCATTAAGTGCTATCACATTATTTGACTTTTATCATTGCCCTTAGTTGCTACTAGGTATCAGTCACAGTTGTCCTCTTCCTTGCAATGTCGTCATGCTAGGGCTCAGGCCTGTGCTTATGCTCTGCCTCTAAGAATCTTGGTGAGGAGTCTGCACAGAGCCAGGCATTACAGTTGGGCTATCTGGGAGTGTGGGGAGGACAAGCTTGTAACATGGCATCTGTCTTAGTTAGGATTCTTAGTGCTGTGAAGAGACACCGTGATCACGGTAACTCTTATAAAGGAAAGCATTTAATTGTGGCTCACAGTTCAGAGGTTTAGTCCATATCCCTATGGTGAGAAACAAGGCAACCAACCAACATTCATGGTGCTAAAGACGGAACTGAGAGATTTTACATCTTGACTCTGCAAGTGGTCTGAGACACAGGGAGTAGTGGCTTTAGCATGTGTGAGACCTCAAAGCCCACCTCCACGGTGACAAATTTCCTCTCACAAAGCCATTCTTTTTCCAACAGAGCCATACCTCCTAATAGCGCCACTTCCTTTGGGTGCCACTTTCTTTCAAACTACCACAGCATCTGTGTGGATTGTTAGCTGTATGTTTTAGTTTCCCAACATTTCGTTGTTGGTTGAATTCCATTTTGCTAGGAGCTATTGACTTCTAATAGGGTAAAAGTATAATATATAACTTAAAAGTTTCTTAAGGAAACCCTAGTGTATTTTCTTTTTGATTTCTTTTTTTTTTTTTTTTTTTTTTCCCTTTTTTGAGGTAGTTTCTTACTGTTTCTCAGGGCAACCTCAAACTTGTTCTCCTGCCTCAGCCTCATCCATTCTTGGGATTATAGTCATTCACCATATCCTGTTGGGAAGATATATCTATATTCATACATATATAATTTATATGCATGTATATATACGCAGACATACATATGTGTGTGAATGCATATTTCTGTATATGTATTCAGTTGTGTGAGGTTAATATAACTATCATTTCCCCTTTCCCTTTGGTTCCTCCAAACCTTCCCTTGTAGTAACTGCAACTTGGCAGTCTTTCAGATTCGTGGCCTTTCTTTCTTCAGTGATTCTCAACTTTCCTAATGCTGTAACCCTTTAGTATAGCTCTACATGTTGTGATGAACCCCCCCCCCAGAAAAAAAAAACATAAAATTATTTTTGTTGCTACTTCATAACTAACTTTGCTACTGTTATGAATCATAATGTATCTGTGTTTTTTGATAGTCTTAGGCAATCCCAATGAGAAGGCCATTTAATCTCCCTAGGGGTCAGGACCCACAGATTGAGAACCACTGCTTTATATATAATCCTAAATAAATAACTGTAATCTGCTCAGCCTGTATAATGTTACTTGTATTTTTTAGGGCTGACACAATCAAAGAAGTGAGTACAGCTACCTCCTTTACTGTTGTCTAACACAGAATATATGTAACTGAATCTAAAGTGTTCAGTGATCTCTTGCTTCTGGTGGTCATTCTCTAGCCAGGATATGGGCTCTCTGTCCAGCACTGCTCAAGAGCTTGTTCTTATACCTTATACCAGGTGGGAATGTCTCAACTTCTTTGGGCTTCAACGAGTGAGTTACAACCTGTGAGGCTGTTCTGATTCATAGTGGCTATCTCTTGTCTTCCATGGTTCATTTAAAAACCAGATCATTTATCATCATGTTTTGTTTTGCCTTTTGGAACAGTTTCATGTAGCCCTGAACTTGCTATGTAGTTTGAATTTCTGATGTTCTTGCCTACATCACCAGATGCAAGAATTAAAGGGGGATGCTGGCTTTCTTATTTCTAAACTGGATCTTATGAAACATGGAGTGCCTGAGTCTATAAGACAGTAGGTTTTTTCTTTAATTATGTTACCTTTATGGCCTGCTTTTATTTGTATTAAGGTAATTTCTAGGTGTTGTATATTGGTCATCTTTATTGAAACTATTTGGGTTTTTATTATTATTATTAAAACTATTGTACTGTGGCATCAGGAAACATTTCTAAAGATTTCATAAGAATGATTTCTTGATATTGTTTCTTGTGTAGTTGTGATGGCCGTGTCACTGTTTATTTCTGGAAGAAGATGGTGCATTTTGTACAGGGCTTGTTGTTGGCATCTTATCTGGCATTGGCTGCTCTGAAACTCATTTTCATAGCAGACAGAGCTTGAAGCTGTCCTTTAGTTTCTCAAGCTAATTTTCTTTTGTGGCCATGTGACACACACAGAAGCTTTCTAGCTTTGGGTGCAGAAAACCCATGTCTGGGTAGTTGTCTATCTTGGCTGCTTCTGGGACACTAGACAATCTTTTTTCCCCTCCCCTCTGAATCTCAATTTCCTACACAAAAATGGGCTTAATCTGGTTGCTGGGAGGAGTTCTAGAAAAAAACTGAAGGCAGATGGAGGTGTTCCTGAGGCCCTGAATGGTCTGTGCTTCCTGCCGGCATTTGCAGTTGCTACTATCTGTCCAGGGTTGATCATGCGCCACAAGCAAAATTGCATTTTCACTTCACAGGGAGCAAACTGAGTCCCAGGGAGGTCATGTGACCCACCTGATGCCACATAACAAAACAGTAGGGCCAGACATCTAGCCAGGTTTAATTCTGTGTCTTGGCCTATTTAGTAGTAAAAGCTAAAATGAAAGATATAGAAACTTTATTTACTGTGAACTACAGGAGTCATCAATCATTCTTTCTGATTAAACACAAAAACAAACAAACAAGTGTGTGTCCGGGGGAAAAGCCCTGCTGCCTCATCTGGCTCATGGGAGATGGTATCCAGTTCACCTCCAGGTTACCTTGGTGACTTGGATTGATTAAGCTCCTTTGCTTGCCAGTAAAATGAGGGCCTGGTCTCCTTTCAGGATCTTGGAAGAGAGTGAGTGTGTTCCATAGGACATAGACATTGCTCAGTAAGCATCACAACAACATCCTTTGGTTGAAGAAAGAAAGAACAGTTTAGTGTCAGGAAAGCAGGCAGATTGTACTCTGACCCATGTTATGAAAATTTTAGAAATTAGGCAGCAAATGAAGTAAACAGTTGTTGGTTCTGTGGGCACACAAAAAGTAGGGAAACTGCAGGATCCCCAGCAGGAAAGCCAGCTGTTTGGCTGTGGCTCTTTCGTATTTGCGTTTGTTTTGCCTTTAGATTTCTTTATTTATTTCATATACAGTGTTCTGCTTGCATGTCAG